CTTTTAAGATTTTTACTTTGTCATTGGTGTTTGCCAATTTAATTAAAATGTGCCTTGGCATCAGTCTTTTGGGGTTCATTTTGCTTGGCACTCTGTGAGCTTCTTGGATTTGTGTGGGTTTTTTCTTCCTTGTATCAGAAAAGTTTTCTGTCATTATTTCTTCAATCAGGTTTTCTATTCCTTGCTCTGTTTCCTCTCCTTCTGAAACCCCTATTATGCAGATATTGTTTTGCTTCATGTTGTCCCACAGTTTCCTTAGGATCTCATCCTGCTTTTTAATTTTTTTATAGGAGCTGCTCTAATTGGGTATTTTTCCCCACCTTGTCTTCCAGCTCACTGATGTGGTCCTCTGCTTCTTCTAGTCTACTCTTATGTTTTCTATTGAGTTCTTTACAGCAGTGATATCACTTTTCATTTCTTCTTGGTTCTTCATTTCCTCTTGGTTCTTATTCATATTGTCAAATTTGTCTTCCTTTCTTTTCAGCTACTTTATGACCATTTCTCTGAATTCTTTCTCTGACATGTTGTTAGCCTCTATTTCATTTACTTCATTTTCTGGTAATGCCTGCTTTTCTTTTATATTCAGGCTGTTTGTTTGTCTCTCCATGATCTCTCTTCTCTGAGTTTTCAAACTCCCAGTTGAACTCCTAAGGGGATCGTTGCATATTAGCCATATATATATATATATATATATATATATATATATATATATATATATATATATATATATATATATATACACTAGAGGCCCGGTGCATGAATTTTATATATGGGGGTGTCCCTCTTCCCAGCCTGCACCCTCTCCAATCTGGGACCCCTCGAGGGATGTCTGACTGCCCATTTAGGCCTGATCCCCAGTAGGATCGGGCCTAAATGGGCAGTCAGACATCCCTCTCACAGTCTAAGAATGCTGGCTCCAAACTTCTTGCCTGCCAGCCTGACTGCCCCTAACCACTTCTGCCTGCCAGACTGATCACCCCCTAACCACTCCCCTGGCAGCCTGATTGATGCCTAACTCTCTCCTGCCAGCTGATTGCCCCTAACTGCTCTCCCCTGCATGCCTTGTTCCCCACAATAGCTCTCCCCTGCAGGCCTGATTCTCCCCAACTGCCCTTCCCTTTAGGCCCAGTCACCCCCAACTTCCTTCCTCTGCCAGCCTGGTCACCCCTAACTGCCCCCCCCCCCTACAGGCTTGATTGCCCCCAACTTCCCTCCCTTGCAGACCTGGTCCCTCCCAAATGCCCTTCCCTGCTTGCCATCTTATGGCAGCCATCTTGTGTCCATATGGGGGGAGCCATGTTGTGTTGGAGTGATGGTTAATTTGCATATTACTCTTTTATTAGATAGGACTTGAGGCCCAGTGCACGAATTTGTGCATGGGTGGGGTCCCTTCGCCTGGCTGGCAATTGGGGCCAATCAGGGCCATCTCACCCAGTCCTGATTTGGACCAATTGGGCCAGTGGCAGGGAGGGACTGTGGATTTGCTCCAAAGTATGTCTGACCCTACCTCAACCAGTCCCAATCAGTGAGACCCTAGCAGCAAGCTAACCTACCAGTTGGAGCATCTGCCCTTTGGTGGTCAGTGCATGTCACAATGGCCAGTTGATCAACTGCTCGGTTGGTCATTTAGCATGTTAGGCTTTTATATATATAGATCATAACTCATGATGTGGAATGCTTGACACACACTTTTCCTTCAGCCCTTGTTCTTGGAGATCTCATGTCCATCCAAGGCTCTGCTCATCCTCTTCAGCTGCCAGATGAAGCAAATTACATCATGAGTGTGGAAACCCTTTGCAGTCTCCATGGTGTGTCTTTACTTAGCTGCAGTTCCAATTATCCCAACATAAGGAGAGACATCCTCATTATCAGATAGCACCATCATAATAAGACCCCTGCTCAGCCTACTGCAGCGGTTTTAAATAAGCCATAGATCATCCTAGATCACATGTGTCAAACACAAGGCCCGCGGGCCAAATCCGTCCCGCCAGGCCTTGCAATGTGGCCCGCACCGCGCTGTCATCACTGCACTCCGCTGCGTTTCCATCACAATGACAGTTTATGACTGTTCAGTAAACCATTCAGCCCGCGATTTAGGCTGGATTTTAGATTTTGGCCCCTTTTGGCCCCTTCTCTGATTGAGTTCGACACCCCTACCCTAGATGGTTTGGATCAGTGGATAGAGACACAGCCTGCTGACTAAAGGGTACTGGGTTTGATTCCAGTCAAGGGCAAATTCCTGGGTTGTTTGCTCAATCCCCAGTAGGGGGCACCCAGGAGGTGGCAGATTGATTCCCATCATTGGTGTTTCTATCTCTCTCTCCCTCTACCTTCCTCTCTGAAATCAATAAAAATACATTAACAAAAATATAGGCCATGAATCAAATGTCGTTGTTCCTCATCCACCCAGTCCCCTCATACCCTCTTTTATCTCTCTCTCCTCCCCCGCCTCCACACACACACACACACACACACACACACTCCACTGGGTCTGTAAAATGAGGTCAGGATTTCTACTTCAACCAAGGGTGATGCTTCCACATGGCCCTCCTTCCCCACCCATCTCTGTCCCCATTTAACTTGGTGGGCCCTTTTCTGTCCCATCCTCCTGCAACATCCTTTCTGCAGCCTCCCCCTTTCTCCTCTGGAGGTGGAGCTCCCCAAAGGCTATGGAGGGCAGAGCTGTGTGGGAAGGGGCTGTGTGAGGCCATGGGGAGCTGTGCAAGGGTGACAGGGGGAGCAGTAGGGGAGGGCAAGCAGACAGGGCCTCTGCAGAGAGATAGGATAGCAGGTCTTGGGGAGGAGGAAGGGACTTGGAGCCTGTCTTGTAGGAGAGGCACCAGGCTCCTCAGTTGCCCCCACCTAGCAGCTTTTCTAGGCCCCTGTGCAACTGTCGCCCACCTCCCCTTACTACCTCCAGCTTCCTTTTAAGTTTGGACTAGGTTTCTCAGAATCAGCCCTGCCGCTTCCTCTCTATTGAGTCCTTGGGAACCTGAGGCGGCCTCATGGCCTTGAGCAAGTGTACCTGGCCTGTCACCCCCATAATGGCATTACCCACTCTCCTGGAGTAGTGAAACTTAATAAAAAGCAGCTCTGAAGATTACAAATTGTGCAGAGAATGTCACAGACTGGGGAGGGCTGTGAAGTCCACAGCTCTCAGATTGCATGTAGCAGCTTCCCACACCTCTGTGTGCCTCCTGGTCCCTGCCCCTGCCTGCCTCCACCCAGGGCTCATGCCAAACCTTGGGAGCTTTCTGAGGGCTTGCACCTCACACCTCACTTTCCAGTCTAGCCCACCAGTGCCCACAGCAAGCTAACCTACTGGTCCAGAATCTTCCCCATTGGTGTTCACTCCCCTGCCAACCTGATTGATGCCTAACTGCTCCCCTACCAGCCTGATTGCCCCTAACTACCCTCCCCTGCAGGCATAATTGCCCCTAACTTCCCTCCCTTGCAGGCCTGGTCCCTCCCAACTACTCTCCCCTCTGGCCATCTTGTGTCCACATGGGGGAAGCCATCTTTGACCAAGTGAGGGAAGCCATCTTGTATGTTGGCATGGTCAATTTGCATATTACCTTTTTATTAGATAGAAAGAGGCCTGGTGCCCACTTGGGGGCCAGCTGGTTTTCCATGAAGGGTGTCCCAGATCAGGGCCGGGGTTCCCTTGGGGCACCGGGCAGCCCGGGCAAGGGGCCTGTGGTGGTTTGCAGGCCGGCTATGTCACCTGGCAACCCAAACAGAGGCCCTGGTATCTGGGATTTATTTATCTTCAATAATTGAAACTTTGTAGCCTTGAGCAGAGGCCAGGGCAGGCCAGGATGGGCAGGAAGCTTGGCTTCCTTCATCACCAGGGGCAACCCAAGCCTCCTGCTTGCACCAGCTCTGTAGCTACTGCCATATTTGTTGGGTTGATTTGCATACTTGTTCCTGATTGGCTGGGAGGCGAGGCATGTGGGCATAGCAGAAGTATGGCCAATTTACATGTTTCTCTTTTATTAGATAGGACAAATGAAGACTTTTCTTTTAAAATATATATTTTTTATTGATTTTTTTTTTTTTTTTTACAGAAAGGGAGTAAGAGTTAGCAACATCTGATGAGAGAGAAACATTATCTGCTGCCTCCTACAAACCCACCAGGGATGATCTGCCCGCAACCAAGGCACATGCCCTTAACAGGAATCGAACCTGGGACCCTTCAGTCTGCAGGCTGATGCTCTATCCACTGAGCCAAACTGGTTAGACAAGATCTTCTTTTAAGTATTACAGATGTCCCCATTGACGCCCTCCATCTCCAACTAACACTCTCCAGGTCTTCACTCTATTGTCTGTGTCCATGGCTTATGCATATATGCATATCAATTCTTTGGTTAATCTCTCCTCATCCACCCGCCCACCCCTGCCTTACCCCTGAGATTTCTCAGTTTGTGCTATGCTTCTATCTCTGGATCTATTTTGTTCATCTGTTGTCCTAAAATTTCAACATTCTCTGGTAATCGCCATTATCAGGAAAAAGAAATGTTATCAATTTTTCATCTTTGAAGAGTATCAAATTCCAGAGAATGATGAGCAAGGAAGTACTTCAGAAAAAATATGACATGTGGCTACTTACTCTAAGAATTTAAAGTTTCTGACAGCCCTTACTTTAAATTATATACAGTTTTTCTATACCAACTTACTTACCTCTGGCTTTGCATTTATAGGTGCTTAACACAAGGATGACTAGAATTTATAGCAGTTATGAAAATGTTGGAATAAATGTTTTGTTTCATTTATTACCAACCAATAATTGAGGGCTGGTAATAAAATATTGGTGTCATTAGCAACGTCCATGAAATATAGCACACTGTATACAAGAAACCTAGGGCTCTCATCAGACTATGCACATGCTTTTGTCTTACATGATTTGCATCTGTTAACGCAATAAACTTGTCTTTATCCTGAGTACTCAGAAGTAATCAAACGGGGCTCAATCTGTTTTTTATTCAAATGGTGTTCGTTACCTGAGTTTCAAGACATGGTCAAATGGTGTTTGACCAACTTCCATTAAATCCCACTCCACCACTAGGGGGAGACGCAGGCGGGCGGCGGCGCCCAGACTCGCAGCGGGCCAGGCTCCAGTGGCGCCCCCGGGCCTCCATCTGGGCCTTCGGGGTGGGAACGGGGTCTGGGTCTCTTTGGGCCCCACGCAGACGCCGGGAGTAGGCTGTCCCTTGCCGAATGGCGGACCGCAGCGGGGTCTGCAGGGGACACGTCGCCCAGCCCCACAGACCCGGTTCCGAGTGGTCCCGACAAGATGGAGGACGCCATCTCCTCCCGCAGCCATGACGGGCGGCGGCGGCGCTCCTCACGGGATGAGGCGCGGGTGGACGTGCGTCCGCCCCAGGCCGCTCGGGGACGCCTCCGCCCGCCGCCCGGCCCGTTGGCCCGGGGCTACCCCTGCCCGTTGGCCCGCACGGGGCCTCCAGCCTCCGGGACTTGGGCAGGAGGGCGTAAGGGACATCGAGGCCGCGTCCCTTCCCGGGCAAAATGCTGGGGACCGCCGCGGCGGGCTGGGCGAAGGCCGAGCGAGGGCAAAAGCGATCCGGCCTCGGTGTCTCGGACTCTCCGGACACAGCAACTTCCCGCCCAGAGTGCAGGGGTCCACCTCTTGGCCGTGAGGCGGCAAAATAAGGTCCGGTGACAAGCCCTACCGACCGGTGTGGGCGGGGGAGAAAGGGAGGAAATGGCCCGGCCGGCAGGCGGGGGAGCGAAGGCCGAGGGTGGGACCGTTGCGTGATGGACAGCCTCACGGGCCATCCCCTTATAGGGATTCCTGAAGAACGGCACACGTAGCCAATGGGCGCGGCCCCGTCCGGACGGCCCCTGCAGCCATTGGGAGCGTGGGAGGCGGGGCCTGCTGGCTGGGCCGCGCTGCCGCCGCCGCCGCCGCCGCCGCCTCCCCCTCCCAGCGCAAACCCCGCACTGTGCGGTGGGTCGGCGAGGGGAGCTTGGATCCGTGGAGCCGCAGCCAGAACCGGTGAGGCTCGGCTCCGCGGGCTTTGCATTCCTGGCCCGCCGAAGCCTCCAGAGGCTGAGCCGGGCGTGGGCGGCCTCCAGAGCCTCTCAGCTGCCGGTGACTAACCCCTGCGGCGCGGCTGCCATCGCCACTGCGCGACTCGCCGGTTCCCCTGTGGCCTGAGGCTGCGGGCTGGCGGGCGAGGCCGGGTGGGCCGGGTGAGGACGCTGGGCGGGGACGCCGCGGGCATTTTCCTTTCCTTGGGGGAGCGGAAGGGGAGGGGCGCCCCGTCCTCCCTCTCTCCCTCGGCTGCTCCAAAGCCTGGGGTCCCCAGTTTTGTGGGCGAGGTTCCGCGTCCGCTCCGGGGCCTGCGCCCCCCTTCTGGTCTTAATGGGGCGCATTCTCGTGGCGGACGGGTCGCAAGTCTCGGACCCAGGGCCAGCGTTCGGGCCCAGCGGGGAGAGTTTAGCTGTGTGGCGACGACGTCTGCAGCTTCTACCTCGGCGCCCAGAGGGATGCGGTGGGTCCATTGGGGAGGTAATGCCTTTATGCCGTTTCCCTTGCTGGCGTCAAAGCAACATTCGCCCCGTTCCTATCCTCGGTGCTGGCCGGTGCCTCCGCCCCCATTCTGGACTTTGAGGGAACACAGCCCTGTCTGGTGGTGCGATACCAGGTTTTAAATTATGGTTTCCCTGCTTCATTGGGGGATGGGGAGGGCAAAAGAGCCCTGAACGCCTTTATTCTGTGTCCCTCTGCAGGGTAGGAATTGTACAGCGTCCAGGTTGGCTGTAACTAAACCTTTTTTCATCTTTTCTCATTCTAGGACCAGGAATTACAATACTTTCTGGCCAATCTGGTGACGCTTTGGCAGAAATTAAGAAGGAAAATACCTCCCTTAAGAGTAATTTAACCCTGCTTTCCTGTTTCACACATTGAGTGCAATAGTACAATGTTGTTCTGTGTGATTTATCTTTCTGTTATCTTGAAGGCAAAAAGCTAATTGCTTGGATGGAACCTGTCACCAGAGCCCTGCCAGGCAAACACCTGGGACAGTGCTGGGAATGGGTGCTGTTAATACCACTGATATTTTCTGAAGTTCCAAAATAGGTCTTAAAGGTAGTTCTTTTTTACAAGCTTTGCATTTAATATTTTTTCTTTCCAATGAATACAATTTTTTTTGTTTACTGTTGGATTATCAAAAATCTGACTCTCCTGTTTTGTTTTAAAGTTCATATGAAGAAGTGTTTTTTGTTTGTTTGTTTTTGTATGTGTCTGTATTATCTTTGTGGACAATTTACTTTTATGTACCCTTCTGGTCCCCAATCAGCATCTCATCAGGAGGTAGTCTAGTTGTCATAATACATAGTTCCGAGATCAGCCACTGAATTGATAGTGACCCGTGACCACCAGATCCTTCCATTATGAAGTGAATATTTTTTTCCTTGTTATCAGAAAGTAATTTACTTGATGTTCACTTTTTAAAAATATACTTTTATTGATTTCAGAGAGGAAAGGAGAGGGGGAGTGGGAAGGGAACGGAATGGCACAGGTGTACTCCCAGGAGGTAAAATACCTTTTTGCAACTTTTAAAAAGCACATTTATTAAACTATGACACCAAAATGTACATTTTAAAAATGATTAAAATGGCAAGTTTTATATATACACCAGAGACCTGGTGCACAGAATTGTGCACTGGTGGGGAGCATGGCTTAGGATCAGCCCACTGTGGGAACGCTGTTCATCCTGGTCAGCTGAGCACATTGACCACCGGGGGCAGCTCCTGTGTTGAGTGTCTGCACCATGGTGGTCTGTGCACATCATAGTGATTGGTCACCTGATTGTTTTGGTGGTTCTGCTGTTCTTTTTTCTTTTTAAAAATATATTTTATTGATTTTGTACAGAGAGGAAGGGAGAGAGATAGTTAGAAACATCGATGAGAGAGAAACATAGACCAGCTGCCTCCTGCACGCCCCCTACCGGGGATGTGCCCGCAACCAAGGTACATGCCCCTGACCTAAATCGAACCTGGGACCTTTCAGTCTGCAGACCGACACTCCACCACTGAGCCAAACCGGTTTCGGCTGGTTCTGCTGTTCTATCGCTCGGTTTTTATTATATAGGACTTATATATAATTGTTATGTACCTATTTTTAGAAATAATGCTGTTGCCTACTTAATAGATTAGAGTGAAAGCATAACTTATTTGCGCTGGGAAAGGAAAACGTGTATCACTCTTTATTGTGATATTTGCTTTATTGCAGTGGTGTGGAACTGAACCCGCAGTATCTCGAAGGCATGCATATAAAAACATATGAGCCCTAATCGGTTTGGCTCAGTGGATAGAGCATCAGCCTGTAGACTCAAGAGTCCCAGGCTCGATACGGTCAAGAGCATGTACCTTGGTTGCAGGCACATCCCCAGTATGAGGTGTGCAGGAGGCAGCTAATCATTGTTTCTCTCTCATTTTTGTTTTTAATTCTCTTTTTTAAATAAATCTTTATGGTTCAGATTATTACAATTGTTCCTCTTCCCCCCTCCCCTCGTAGCCCCCCTCCATCCAATTCCCACCCCATCCCACTGTCCTCATCCATAGGCGTATAATTTTTGTCCAATCTCTCCCCACACCCCTCAAATCCTTTTCCCCTGAGAATTATCAGTCTATTCCCTTTCTATGCCCAATTTTATTATATTCACCCGTTTATTCTGTTTCTCAGATTTTTAATTCACTTGATTTTTAGATTCACTTTTTTTTTAAATATATTTTATTGCGTTTTTACAGAGAGGAAGAAAGAAGGATAGAAAGCTAGAAACATCGATGAGAAAGAAACATTGAACAGCTGCCTGTTGCACACCCCCTACCGGGGATGTGCCCACAACCAATGTACATGCCCTTGACCAGAATTGAACCTGGGACCCTTCAGTCAGCAGGCCGATGCTCTATCCACTAAGCCAAAACGGTTTTGGCTAGATTAACTTTTTGATAGATATATATTTGTTGTTCATAATATTTATCTTTGCCTTTTTCTTCTTCCTCTTCTTAAAGAATACCTTTCTGCATTTCATATGATACTGGTTTGGTGATAATGAACACTTTTAGCTTTTTCTTATCTATGAAACTCTTTATCTGACCTTCAATTCTGAATGATAGCTTTGCTGGGTAGAGTAATCTTGGTTGTAGGTTCTTGCTATTCATCACTTTGAATATTTCTTGACTCTCCCATCTGGCCTGCATAGTTTCTGTTGAGAAATCAGCTGACAATTGTATGGGTGCTCCCTTGTAGGCAACTCAGTTTTTCTCTTGCTGCTTTTTTTTTTTTTTTTTTTTTTTTTTTTTAATATACCTTTTCAATTTTTTACAGAGAGGAAGAGAGAGAGAAAGCCAGAAACATTGACGAGAAACATCGATCAATTGCCTCTGCATGTCCCCCATTGGGGATGTGCCCGCAACCAGGGTACATGCCCCTGACCAGAATTGAACCCAGGACCCTTCAGTCCACAGTCCAAGGCCTATCCAATGAGTCCAATTGGATAGAGCTTCCTCAGTTGCCAGCCCTCTCCATGTGCACGCCTCCATACCTCTGCACTTTACTTCTGCAGCTCCTTTGAGTCTCAGTGTGCTTTTCTCTTCTCTTCTAGTTGTAGAATTTTCATTTAGCCAGCCTTTCTGTGGTTCTGGATGATGTCTTTTAGTTGTATTATAGTTTTAAGTTGTTGTGCAAGGTAGCAAGTTCAGATGTTTACCTATGCCGCTATCTCTTGCTGCTTTTAATATTCTCTCTCTGTCTTTTGCTCTAGGCATTTTAATTATGATGTGATTGGTGTGGTCCTCTTTGGGTTCCTTTTGTTTGGGTTCTCTGCACTTCCTTGACTTGTATTTCTTTCACAGGTGGGCGAAGTTCTTGGTCATTTCTTCAAATAAGTTTTCAGTATCTTGCTCTCTCTCTTCTCTGGCACCCCCATAATTCTGATGTTGGTTCGCTTAAAGTTGTCCCAGAGGCTTCTTACACTATCTTCAAATTTTTGGATTCTATTTTCTTTTTGCATTTCCGGTTGAATGTTGTTTTTTTTGCTTCTTTGTATTTCAAATCTTTGACTTGATCCTTGCGCTCCTCTAGTCTGCTGTTGGATCTCTGTATATTATTTTTTATTTCAGTCTGTATGCTTAATTTCTAGTTGGTCCTTTTTTCATATCTTTGAGGGTCTCACTAAATTTATTGGCATTTTCGGCGAAACTGGTTTGGCTCAATGGATAGAGTGTCGGTCTGCGGACTGAAAGGTCCCAGATTCGATTTTGGTCAAGGGCATGTACATTGGTTGTGGGCACATCCTCAGTAGGGGGTGTGCAGGAGGCAGGTGTTCGATGTTTCTCTCTCATTGATGTTTCTAGCTCTCTATCCCTCTCCCTTCCTCTCTGTAAAAAAAAAAATCAATTAAAAAAAATATATATATTTGTTTTAATTTATCGGCATTTTCGAGACGATTCTTGAGTAACCTTATAACCGTGGTTTTGAACTATATTCAGTCGTTTGCTTTCCTTAATTTCTTTTCGTTTGTGAACTGTTTCTTTGTCTCCGCATTTTGGCTGCTTCCCTGAGTTGATAGAGTAGCTTTGTGTGCTAGGTATCCTATAGGGACCAGTGGCTCAGCCTCCCCAGTTACCTGAGGTGGACACTCTTGGTGTTCCCCTTTGTGGGCTGTGTGCACAGTCTTGTTGTAGTTAAGCCTTGATTGTTGTTGGTATCACTGGGAGGGATTGACCTCCAGGCCAATTGGCTGTGAGTATCAGCTGTATCTACAATGGGAGAACTTCTGTGTTGGAGATACCCTTATGCGGCAAGACTTGCTTCAGTGGGTCTTTGGTGTTCCCTGAGTCTATCTCCTGAGTATGTCCCTTATGGATCTAAGGAGTTGTAATCTGGATGATCCTACTCTGACCCCTGGGTACACTGGCTCTTGGATCTCCAAAGAGATGCTAATTTAGCCTCTGCCTGAGGACAGCCAGCACGAGCTATGGAGAGATCTGCAGATTCCTCTTCTTTGTTTGGGTTTTGGAGATGTCCAGATGAGGTCCAGCTGTGAAGTAGTACAAGGTGCTGTCAGGCCTTGGGCCTTCTTTTCGATGTTCTGGGTCTCTCTGACTTAGCTGTAGTTTGTTAGGTAAGTTTAGATTTCAAAGGATCAGGCTACTCACATGCAAAAGCCTCTGTGCACAGCTTGGATGGGGCAGAGTCCCAGGGCAGAGCAAAGAGCAATGGCTTCCTGTCAGCACTGAGGTCCCCGGATCTCAGTGTCCCTTGGTAATCGCTGCAAGCATCTCTGAGAGAAAGCCGCCCTTGAGTTTCGCCCGCTGTCAGACAGTCCAGTTTCTCCCCGTATGTGTCTGGGTTTCCAGAGTCTCACCCAAAACTGGAGTTCAGAGGAGTAAGGAACTTGTTTCTCCCTCCCACTTGTAAAAGCCAGCCATGTCCTCAGTTGGCAGCTCTCTCTGCGCACACGCCTCCATACCTCTGTACTTTACTTCCGCAGCTCCTCTGAGTCTCGGTGTGCTTTTCTCTTCCCTTCTAGTTGTAGAATTTCCACTTAGCTAGCCTTCTATAGTTGTGGATGATATATTTTAGTTGTAGTTTTGAAGTTGTTGTGCGAGGTAGCAAGTTCAGATATTTACCTATGCTGCCATCTTGGTTTCTCTGATGTTTCTAATTCTATCCCTCTCCCTTCCTCTCTGTAAAAAAAAAATCAATAAAATATATTTTAAAGTAAATAAGTAAATAATAAAAACTATGAGGTGAGATGTTACTAAAAGTAACTAAGTACAGTTGAGCAAAGTACTGTTATATATCATGCTTGTGTTAGCTTTTATCTTTAGCCCTAAGTAGACATCCTGTTTACTTTATTCATTATAAGAGATTTGCATTTGAGTCCTGCTTTAGGTTCTTACTTTTTGTATAGTGGTAGTATAATTTTGTATCATCCTTCTCTGTAGATTTTCCTTTGCTTTTATATTAATTTTCATTGTATCATACAAAACTAAATTCAATTAAATATTAAATAATTTGTAAATGAATGAGATACCACAAATTAAGAAAATGTTTAAGATTAATTAGACAATTGCTGAAATCCTAAGATATAGGCCAAGGATTTATCTAAATATTGTCTCATGCACAATGATTTAACATTGTTTGCAGTCTTTCATATGGTCCAGGCATGTTCAATTATTTCAATAAAAACCTCGGAGTCATATATTATCCCCATTTAGTTTACAGTTTAAAAAACTAAAACTCAGTGGTACACAGCTAATTATTAAACCCATAATGTTTCCTCCGTTTTTGAATAATATAGAAATAGTAGAAACTTTTATGAAGCCTTATGTTTATGGAATTAAGAAACTGTTAGATGGTTAAATTAAACACAATGGCTTTTTTATTTAATATACATTTCATTGATTTTTTTACAGAGAGGAAAGGAAACGGATAGAGAGTTAGAAACATCAATGAGAGAGAAACATCAATCAGCTGCCTCCTGCACACTCCCCACCGGGGATGTGCCCACAACCAAGATACATGCCCTTGACTGGAACCGAACCCAGGATTTTTCAGTTCGCTGCCCGACGCTCTATCCATTGAGCCAAATCAGTTTTGGCCACAATGGCTTTTAGTAGTAGTTAACTTTTTTATAATCTCGGATTTTGAAAATAGGTGAATATTCCTCTAACCGGTTTGGCTCAGTGGATAGAGCATCAGCCTGTGGACTCAAGGTTCCATGTTCGATTCCAGTCAAGGTCATGTATGTTGGTTGCAGGCACATCCTCAGTAGGGGGTGTGTAGGAGGCAGTTGGTCGATGTTTCTCTCTCATCGATGTTTCTAATTCTCTCACTCTTCCTTCCTCTCTGTAAAAAATCAATAAAATATATTTTTTAAAAAGAAAGAAAGAAAATAGGTGAATAATTAATCTTTTTTCTTTTTTTTGAAATTTTTTTTATTGATTTCACAGAGCAATGGAAAAGGGAGAGAGAGAGATAGAAACATCAATGATGAAAGAGAATTATTGATCGGCTGCCTTCTGCACCTCCCCTACTGGGAATAGAGCTGGCAACCCGGGCATATGCCCTTGACCAGAATCAAACCTAGTTCTCTTCAGTCCACAGGTTGATGCTCTATCCAGTAAGCCAAACCAGCTAGGGCTTAGACCTTTTTTTCAGAGGTAGGTGATTGCAGTGAGCTGAACATAAAGAAAGAATGCCCTTTATATTTTCTTTGAGAAGATTGAGGTAGGTTCTAGGACATAGCAGCCACAAGAGTCTAGCTTTTTACAGAAATTGTTCTATTTTGTTTTATATTTATTCAAATGAAGAAAGTACTGAGAGATTTTGTATATAGCGGTTTTTATATTTCATAACTCAGTTGAGGCTAAATATTGCCTCTTGCCTTTGAAAATCAACCATATACTAAGTTTACTGAAAGAGTGTTGACCATGATCCCAATTTTTGTGTTTATTTTGTAACCCTTATATACTGGTCTTTTAGATTCATTATTTCTGCATCTTTGATATAGACTTATTTGAATGTTGACTTTTTGAAAATGAACTAGTTAATTGTAATAAAAGAAGTGATTTAAAAAGTTATTTTATATATTAATTGCATATAACGTAATGGTTGTAAGATAGATCCTGGAGTCAGATTTCTTGGATTTGAATCCTGACTATGTCCTTCCCAGCATTAGAGACTTGGACAGGCCATACAGATACCTTATCTTCTGAGCCTTAAGTTTCCTACTGGGCAAAGTGGGGGAAAAGAATAGTTCCTACCTCGTGTAAACATTAAATAAATATTTTATTGACATAGCACCTATTACATGATTATAACTATTATCAATTAAATTACTTGGAAAAATTTAGAATAGAAATGTTACTTAGCATATATCAATATGAGATATTTAAAATGGAGTAAAGTGAGTTTTTTAAAACATTCAACACCCATATAGTTCTCACCTCCTTCACTCTCGAGTTTCTAGCTAAGAAAATTGAGGCCAGCATGGATAAACTTACCTTAGTTTTCCACCTATCATTTCTACACTAATATACATTCCAGTTATGTCTACTTTCCCCCCCCCCTCTGGCCTTTGAAATACAGGTGAGTTCTATTCAAGATCAATTTCACTCCCACCTGTGCACATATCCATATCTCACTTGCAAGAGCCTCACTTTATTGATTATTCACTTCTCCAGATTATTATTTTTTAATCCTCACCTGATAAGTGAGGGTATTTTTTCTTTTTTTAAAGAGGGTATTTTTCCCATTGACTTTGGAGAGAGTAGAAGGGTGGGGAGAGGAGGAGAAAGAGAAAACCATTGAGATAAGAGAGAGACACATCGGTGGTTTGCTCCCTACTGGTGCCCAGACGAGAACCGAGATCGAGACATTTTGGTCCTCTGGTCCACTAAGAAAAACCAGCTAAGGCCAGATTCTTTCCTTTGTCACACCCAAGTGTGTAGTAGGTACAAAGAAGTGTTTGTTGAATATAACAGAGTGGTTAAGAATTTGGAGTCGAATTAAAAGCCTGAATTTAAGTCCTATTTGAGTTTATCCAGAACAATATAGTTAGCTTCTCTTTCCTGATCTGTAAAATTGATTAAGTTATGCCTATGTCATGGCATTTATAGAATTTTACTTAGAAAACAGCATGATGTTTGAAGATTGCACAGAAGGGCAAAGGTGACTCAAAAATTTCATCATATAGTTATATTGGAAGAGAATTTGAAAAATGACGAAAGACTAGGGAAATAGGGATTGGACAATGACAGTCATTTTAATAGATAGTATATGTATTATGTTGATTATATTTGGAGTGTAGATTATTAGTACTTGATAAATTATTTTATTACTGTTTCCTGTGTGTGTTTTTTTAATTTATTGATTTCAGAGAGGAATGGAGAGAGAGAGGAGAGAGAGAGAGAGAGAGAGAGAGAGAGAGAGAGAGAGAAATCAGTGATGAGAGAATCATTGATCAACTGCCTTCTGCATGCTCTACATTGGGGATCAAACCTGTAACCCAGGCATGTGGCCTGAACAGGAATTGCATGGTGACCTCGTGGTTTGTAGGGTGATGTTCAGCCATTGAGTTACGCTGGACAGGTGTTACTGTTTTTTATTTCAAAGGAAGACAGGTATTTTTTCCCCTATAAAGGCTGACTAGGTAATTGAGTACAGTAGGTCCTCAAAAACTGTTTCATTATTACATTGATGAGATACTGTAGGAACCAACTATTGTTTATATCTTATGGTTATATCAATTAGACTATGATAAAATTGGTTTCCTTAAATGTTTTGCTTAAGGTAACAGAACCTATTGATGATGCTAAATAAAGATTACTGTTAGTTGAGTAGATTTTCTAAGATTTGACTTTGGTGTTGGTCATACAGAACAGTTTACAGATCTTGTAGCATAGAGCCTCACACCTGAAACCTGTATGATCATGTTAACCAATGCCACCCCAATAAATTTAACTAAAAATAAACATTTTTTAGGGACTCCCAAAAATTGTATAAATTTTATCGAACTCTGAAGAAGTAAGCATTAATGGAAGAGGATAAACAGAATAGTTGAACAATTTTTTCCTTAAATGCTAGATAAAAATCACATAAAGAATAGAATTTAAAATTTCATTTGTGCTAGTTCTTGTAATAATCATAATTTTCTTTCTTTTTCTGTCTCTTGCAGGTTTTTTTTGTCATGGACATAGGTTCAGTGGGAGGATTAGACTTGACTGAACAAACTTCTGTGTTACTAGGGAGTAAAGCTATGGCAACTAGTCTCACAGACGTAGGAAATTCATTTGGTCATCCAACTAGTATTTCAGTTAATAGATCTAGAAACTTATTGGTGGAAGATGATGATGATGATGTTGTGTTTATTGAAACTCTACAACCTCCTTCAACTTCTTCAGCAATAGTTGATCCAAGAGATTTTATATTTGCTTCATCAAGAAATGGAAAGCTACAAGGAAATGATTCCCTAATTCCTTCCTCAAGAGATTTGGCTTCTCAAAAGGGATATATAAGTGAGACTATTATTATTGATGATGAAGAGGACATAGAAACAAATGGAGGAAAAAAGAAAAATTCTTTCAGTTTTATTGAATGGGGACTTCGAGGAACTAAAAACAGAACCAAAGATGTGGATTTCTCTACTTCCAGTCTTTCAAGAAGAAAGGTAAATGTAGGAATGGGTAATAGTGTTATCACTACAGAATCGACTTTGAAATAAAGATTGCTAGTGTTACAACCTTAGAAACAGGTATAAGCTCTCTGAATGATGAGCAAGATATGAACTTAATGATTACACTTATAGCATCACTATAGAATACCAACTTGGGAGATGTCGCTAAAGGACTTCAGCCAAGTAATTTTGGTGTTAATATACAAACATACACCCCATCTTTAACTTCACAGACCAAGACTGCAGTAGAACCTTTTAATCCTGGTAGGATGAATGTGGCAGGAGATGAATTTCAGAAAGGAGGATTTGCAACTCATCATAGTCCTGGTAAGCCATGTGTGATCTACCTCAAGTAAAAAAACTGTTGGCTGTTATTTTTACAACCCATTTCATTTATGTTCTATTAGTTAAATATTTTCTTTCTTTTGACTTTCAGGTTAAGATAGCATATTTTACTTAAGAAAAAACTGTGCAGTCTACTTGGCCTGTGAATTTTCATAAATTTAATCTATTTTACCTATTGTAGTTTACATCTAAAGTGGTTTAATTGAAAACCTCCATAATTATTACCATTGACCTATTTACTAGTGTTTATTTTAATGTAAAAAATCATAGAATAAAAAGGTGTGTAAGTCAGCTTGGCTTAGTGGATAGAGTGTCAGCCTGCAGACTGAAAGGTCTTGGGTTTGATTCTGGTCAAGGACATGTACCTAGATTGCAAACTCCATTCCTGGCCTGTGTGTAGGAGGCCACCAAATGATATGTCCCTCTCACATTGATGTTTCTCTCTCTCGCTTCCTCCCTTGCCCTCTCTTTCACTCTCTCTAAAAATCAATGGGAAAATATCCTTAGGTGAAGATTAACAACAACAAAAAGATGTGTTGAACTGAAGGGCAATATAATGTAATATTATGTAGTAATTGAATTTTGTGTGTTATAATTAAGTAACCTGAAACTTCAATTTTTGTGTAACATGTTTATTTTGGTGCTTGTCTCTGATTTTCATTTTTAAATCATCATTTTATTGCTTAATCTTAAAAGTTTCTTGCTTTAATTAAGAGATGTATACTTTTAAAAGTCATGTTCTGAAAAAATTAAGATATAATAATAGTTATTTAAAACTTAGCAAATCTTTTTTGTGGCTTTTTCATGAATTGGAGTTTTTCTTTTTCAAATGTATTTTTATTGATGTCATAGAGCACATGTGTCAAACACAAGGCCCGCGGGCCAAATCCGTCCCGCCAGGCCTTGCAATGTGGCCTGCACCGCGCTGTCATCACTGCACTCCGCTGTGTTTCCATCACAATGACAGTTTATGACTGTTCAGTAAACCATTCGGCCCGCGATTTAGGCTGGATTTTAGATTTTGGCCCCTTCTCTGATTGAGTTCGACACCCCTATCATAGAGGAAGGGAGAGAGAGACAAACACCAATAATGAGAGAGAATCATCGATCGGCTGCCTCCTGCACTAGGAATTGAGCCCGCAATCTGGGCATGTGCACTGACCAGGAATCAAATCATAGCCTCCTTGTTACTAGGTTGAAGCTCGCCCACTGATATTTGAGTGTTGAATTTGTTATCTGCTACATTGCCGAATTCATTTATTAAATCTAGTAGTTTTTTGGTGGAGTCTTTATAGTTTTCTCTGTACAATATCATGTCATCTGCAAATAATAATTATTTTATTTTCCAATGTAGATGCCTTTTATTTCTTCTTGTCTAATCACTTTGACTGGGATTTCAAGCACTGTCTTGTAAAGGAGTTGTGAAAATGGGCATCCTTGTCTTATTCCTGTTCTTAGGGGAAATAGTTTTTGTTTTTGCCCATTGAGTATCATGTTTGCTATAGGTTTGTCATATATGGATTTTATCATGTTGAGATATGCTCCCTCTATTATTACTTTGCTGAGATGTTTTATTTTAAAAAGGGTGTTTGATTTTGTCAAAAGCTTTTTCTGTGTCTATTGATATGATCATATGATTTTTGTCTTTCAGTTTGTTTATGTGATGTATCACATTTATTAATTTGTGAATATTGTACCAACGTTGCAGAACTGGAAGAAATCCCACTTGGTCATGGTGTATGATCTTTTTAATATATTGCTGGATCTGATTTGCTAATATTTTGTTGAGGATTTTAGCATCTAGGTTCACTAGGGATATTGGCCTGTAAACCTCTTTCTTTGTAGTGTCTTTATCTGGTTTTGGAATTAGGAAAATGTTGGCCTCATAAAAAGAGCTTAGAAGTTTTCCTTCCTCATGGATTTTTTGGAATAGTTTGAGGAGGATAGGTTTTAGTTCCATTTGAAGGCTTGGTAAAACTCCCCGTGTGAAGCCATCCAAACCAGGACTTTTGTTTGCTGGAAGTTTTTAAAACTACTAGATGCCTGGTGCATGAATTCATGCACCAGTGGGGTCCTTCGGCTGATCTGCAGGATTGGGCCAAAACCGGCTCTCCAACATCCCCTGGGGGGGTCATGGATTGTGAGAGGGCACAGGCCAGGCTGAGGGACCCCACTAGTGCAGTCAGGGCTGGGAGGGATGCAGGAGGTTGGCTAGCCAGGGAGGAACATTGTAATATAAATATCTGTGTTTTCCAACAGTCTTAGGCTCTACAGCAGTAGTTCTCATCCTGACCTACAGGATGAGAACTGCTAGCAGGGATGCCTAAGACCATCGGAAAACACAGATATTTACATTATGATTCATAACAGTAGCAAAATTATAGTTATGAAGTAGCAACGAAAATAATTTTGTGGTTGGGGTCACCACAACATGAGGAACTATATTAAAGGGTTGTAGCATTAGAAAGGATGAGAACCACTGAGCTGGGTAGTTTCCCCAAGTCCTTGTAGCTGTTTCTGAATTTCTAAGTTCCCTACTTCCTCCAAATTTCCCTTTGGCCAAATTAAGGGAGGGGGCCTGCCATATAGAATTTCAGATGGCGAGAAGCATACCCTGGCCCCTGTAGCAGATTACTTGCAGGAGCACGTATTATGGTTGGGGTCGGATAGGTAACATATCTGTCCAGTGTAATTTCATCTCCTGGCATAGCTTAGCTATAGCCTGCTTGACAGTACGGTCATGCGTTCTACTGTCCTTGAACTCTGGGGCCTGTAAGCTGCACGTAAGTTCCACTTAATTTCTAAGGCCTTAGCTACCTACTGTACTACTTCAGCTACAAAGGCTGGGCCATTATCTGACCCTATGTTAATGGCATTCCATACCACAAAATTCTGTCCTTCAGTAATGCCTCGGTGACTTCTCTCGCTTTCTCTGTGTGGGTAGGATATGCCTCAACTATCCTTTAAGTCCACAGATGGGTTACTGATTAATTGCCCATCTCTCTAGGAACAGTTTTGCACCCTCACAAGCCTGGGGACCAGGTTTGGGTAAAAGATTGGGAAAAACAACCTCGTAAGCCAACCTGGAAGGGACCTTATCCAGCCTGAAAAGGTGCCCTAATTCTGTAAAATCTACCTCTTGATCTTCAAAAAAGAGCCTGCCCACAGTGCTAAATTCCCATAGGTACTACAGGACCCTGCCTTGCATTGTTCTGTGCACAGAGGAGGCAGCTCCGAGAGACTGAGGCACACAAGGAAGGGAGATTGGCTTAAAAAGGCTCCTAGAGTCGTCTTCCCTAAATGGGTAAGTTCATGCTGCTGGAGGACTACTCTATGAGCTAACCGTTCTGGAACATAGACTTATGATCTGGAAGTATCCAACAATCTTCCTTTGTCCTCTTATCTCCTTCTCTTTGGGCGCATTCTTATTTCTCTTCTTTTTTTAAAAAAATTTAATAAATTTTTATTGTTCATATTATTACAGTTGTTTCTCCTTTTCCCCCCCACAGCTCCCCGCCACCTGGTTCCCACCCCACCCTCTGCCTTTATCTCCCCCCGCCCCACTGTCCTCATCCATAGGTGTACAATTTTTGTCCAGTCTCTTCCTGTGCCCCCCCACACCCTTTTCCCCTTGAGAATTATCAATCCACTCCCATTCTTCTTCTTAAAAAATACCTTTCAGCATTTCATATAATGCTGGTTTGGTGGTGATGAACTCCTTTAGCTTTTTCTTATCTGTGAGGCTCTTTATCTGATCTCTCATTCTGAATGATAGCTTTGGTGGGTAGAGTAATTTTGGTTGTAGGTTCTTGCTATTCATCACTATGAATATTTCTTGCTACTCCCATCTGGCCTGCATAGTTTCTGTGGAGAAATCAGCTGACAATCGTAGGGGTGATCCCTTGTAGTTAATTAACTGTTTTTCTCTTGCTGCTTTTAATGTTCTCCCTTTGTCTTTTGCCCTTGGCATTTTAATTATGGTGTGTCTTGGTGTGGTCCTCTTTGGATTCCTTTTGTTTGAGGTTACTGTACTTCCTGGACTTATAAGTATTTCTTTCACGGGGGGGGGGGGGGGGGGGGGGGGGGGGGGGTGGTTCTGTCATTATTTCTTCAAATAGGTTTTCAGTGTCTTGATCTTGTTCTCGCTCTCCTTCTGGCACCCCCATAATTCTGATGTTGATACGCTTGAAGTTGTCCCAGAGACTCCTTACACTATCTTCAAATTTTTGGGATCCTTTTTTCTTTTTGTTTTCTCAGTTGAGTGTTTTTTGCTTCTTCATTTTTCAAATCTTTGACTTGATTCTTGCATTCCTCTAGTCTGCTGTTGGGTCTTTGTATAATATTTTTTATTTCAGTCATTGTATGCTTAATTTCTAGTTGGTCCTTTTTCATATCCTTCAGCGTCTTGTTAAATTTATCGGCCTTTTCTAGGAAATTCTTGAAAAATTTTATGACCATGGTTTTGAACTCTATATCCAGTCGTTTGTTTTCCTCCATTTCTTTCGTTTGTGATCTGTTTCTTTGTCTCCGCATTTTCGCTGCTTCCCTGAGTTGGTAGGGTGGCTTTGTGTCCTAGGTGTCTTATATGGCCCAATTGGTTGTCCTCCCAGTTACCTGAGGTGGACACTCTTGGTGCACCCCTTTGTGGACTGTGTGTACAGCCTTGATTGCTGTTGGTATGCTGGGAGGAATTGACCTCCAGGCCAATTGGCTGTGAGGACCTGCTGTGTCTATAAGAAAGAAATGCTGTGATGGAGACACACTTATTGGGCTGGACTTATTTCAGTGGGGCTTTGGTGCTCACTGTGTCTGCCTCTTGAATGTGTCACTTATGGATGTGAGTAGTTGAAATCTGGTGTTGTCTCACTCTGACCACTAGATACACTAGTTTCTGGATCTCCAATGGGGTGCAGGTCATCTACTGTCTGAGGCCACCCAGGAGGAGCTACAGCGAGAACTACAGTTTTCTCCTCTTTGCTTGG